AACAAAAATATGTTTCATCGTAAATTACGACATTTCAAAGATTCCTAGACTCCTGTTACTAATTAATTTAAATTATGCATTTTTTATTTCAAACAAAATGTTTTTTCAGGTGTAAATATTTTTTGTTTTTCGTGAATTTGTTTACATTATGACTATAGATTTATAAGACCTAGATTTTTAGCTAATATGAACCTTGGATTATCGAAGAGTTGGATGTGGTGGACTTACAAGTTTTCAATTTCAATTGTCTCCTGAAATGCTGCTTTTTTTAAATTTTTAAAATTTTTTTTAAACCTCATCTCATAGACACCCCAAAGTCTCTTCCGTCCTAACCTTCACCTTACTATATACAAACCGCCATTTTAGTCTATAAATATTATTATCTATCATTGAACCATTGAATCCATTCAGAAACACTCTGGTGCGACAGGATATTTTGATTACTGAGGAGAAAAGTCTTCAGAGAGCATATTAGAGTTGAATCAACATTTGACAAAAACTTGCATCGGGATAATATAATTAGTGGCACCAGTCTCCTGAGGAGAAAACCCGGTCCAAATAATCAGCAGTTTTTACTGATGATAATTTACTTTTTGAAGCAAGCCTTGAAATATTAGCGGGAGCAATCTGTCTCTGTCATACCATTGTTATGAACAAGAGGAGCAAGTGAGTAAAAGAAACGCTGGCTAAGACAATTAAAGCCGTATCGCAGAGTTCCTTTGCATCCATAGATCACGCAGTTCGAACTTGGCAAAGAGTTCGACGTGCAACCTAACCCATACGTCAGCCCGCTGAGTTTTCCACCGGATCTTCTCGGCGGGACGCGATTCCGATCCGGTAATAGATACATTCGCGAAGCAGATGCTCTTGATTTGTTAGGTCTTCTCTGGAGGCGCTCGAGCGGCTGTTAGCAAATCCCTTCCTGGCTTAGCCTTTGTTCGCCCACCTGTCCTGGTGAAACTAGAAAGGCATCCGGACCACAAGTAAATACTTCATTAAAAAAAAAAACACGCTGTAAAGTATCAGACAGTTCGAAAGCAATTAATATTATAAACGTTTATATACAAACCACACGTGCTTTGTAAATGTAAAGTAATCCAACGATGAAAAATAGACTTTTGCACGTGTCTAATTTCCAGACTAAACTGTTTTTGAACTAGATCTTGTGGTGAAATTAACCGGCGCGGAGTTTTTGTGGGAACGGCGATTCGCAAGACTTTTAACTAACATGAGAAGCAACAGATTTCAAACAAAACAATTATCATCAAAATCGACTCACCTAGAAAAAATTCTTTAAGTGACAAATAAACAACACAGTCACCTTGATAATAATTTTTTTATGTTTTTATTTATTTATTTATTGCTTCGATGGGTGGACAAACTCTCGGCCCTCCTGGTGTTAAGTGGTTGTCAGAGCTCATAGACATCTACAACGTAAATTTCACCAACCTTCTTGAGACATGAGTTCTAAGCATCAGTTGTTTTTTTTTTTTTAATTGCCCTTTTAGGCATTCGAGCATACGGCCCACCTGATGGTGAGTGGTTACCGTCGCCCATGGACTTCAGCAATGCCAGGGGCAGAGCCAAGCCGCTGCCTACCGATACACCAGTTTTTACAGTACAACGATTGCCCTACCCTTCAAACCGAAACGCATTACTATTTCACAGTAGAAATAGGCAGGGTGGTGGTACCTACCCGTGCGGACTCCAACCGGTAAGGTTAAAACTTCTACTTAATTGAGCGCGGTACCTAATCTATTTACAAAGTAATTTGATATGCCATGTGCATTGAAACTCATTAGTGTTTCAACGTTTTTTACTATTGTACACATAATTTTATTACAAATCAATTCAGAACACGCACGCTTATTACGTGAGGTACCGACTGTCGCGACGACCGTGTAAAGGTCGCTTAAAAACATTTGCACGTTTGACAAGTTGAATAAAAAACGCATCGATTAAATACATTTACTGCAGTCAACATTTTTCGCATTGCAATGTGCAAAAAACAACCTTGGCAACATTCCTAATTGTTCTAAAAATATTAGTCTTTACAATTTACAACTAAAACCGCAGCCAGACTTGTGTTTACTACATTAAAATTGTTTTTGTATCGATATGCGTGTTTTAATCGAATCAAAAAAAAAAGCGCGGGAAGTTCTTAATGCGATAAAAAAAAACGGTGTAATAACAAACCTCAGAACTTTTTTCTGGGTGAATTCTGATGAATTCTAACGTTTTTCATTTGAATCTTATCAAGATCTGACCAGAAGTTTTAGAGTCATGCTTAATAATCCATATTTAATTGACTTTGAATTTGTTGATGAAATTCTCATCATCATGATAATAATCAGAATTTTAAATTATTATTTACCTTTTTTTTGCTTATATTGGTGGACGAGCTCACGGCCTACCTGGTTTCAAAAGTGGTTACTGGAGCCCATAGACATCTACAACGTAATGCGCCACCCACCTTGAGATTCACTGGTGGTAGGACCTCTTGTGAGTCCGCACAAGTATAATTACAACGGCTGCCCCACCCTTCAAACTGAAACGCATTACTGCTTCGGGGCAGAAATAAGCAGGGCGGTGGTAGCTACCCGCGCGGACTCACAAGAGCTCCTACCATCAGTAATTACGTAAATTATAATTTTGCGGGTTTAATTTTTATTACACGATGTTATTCCTTCACCGTGGAAGTCAATCGTTTAGTACGTAATTCAGTAGAAAAATTGGTACTCGCTTGAGATTCGAACACCGGTGCATCGCTCAACACGAATGCAGTGAACGTCTTATCGTTTAGGCCACGACGACTAATCTCATACCAAATCGCAGTTTCTACAATTGGAGGCCATATTATATTAGTATACATATCCAATATAATACATACACCTTAGCAGCATAATCAATAAAAATAATCAATAGAAAATCATTATAAATAAAAATAATAACAGTTATACGTTACGATTGGACTCATAACATAACTGAGATCTTAATTTGTCTCGACTTGTTGTCATGTCTACTTAGTCTGGCCATAAATACTGTTACAAAGGAAAACAAAAAAAAATGTATTGCAAATAACATTTATTACTTTTACAGTGTGTTAGTTTAATACATAAATATAAAACAATTTAAAGTATAAAAAGCTTATTCGAAGTAGTCTCCATTGGCTGCAATACAGTCCTTTAAGCGTTGAGGCCAGTTATCAATAGAAGCACGCACTCTTTACATGGGAAAAATTTTCACTGCCAAACGTATGGATTGTTTTAGGGACTCCAAATTATCATGGCGCTTAGAGCAAGCCGTACTCTCTAAAACTGACCATAAATCATAATCCAGCGGATTAATATCGGGACTAGACGACGGCCAGTCTTCAGCTCTGATGAAGTCCGAAACGTTCGTTTCCAACCAAGACTGCGTAGACCGAGCTTTATTACCTGGCGCCAAGTCTTGCTGGAAGGACCATTCTTAATTATTGAACATGGTGTTGATATGGGGCTTCACTACCTTCTCAAGAATGGTATCTTGATACACTTGTGCCGATGTTTTGATACCTTTTTCACAAAAGTATGGCTCAGTCACTCCTTTATAGCCAATACCCCACCAAACCATCACTGAAGTCGGATAGTGCCCACGTTGCACTCTGTCGACTAATTGGGAAGCTTCCTTAGAGCTTTGAGCATAAATACGGTCATTTTGTTTGTTAAAATGTTGCTCAATTGTAAAAATTTTGTCATCCGTAAACAAAATTTTTCTATGACTTCCCTTTGCGTACCGCTTCAGTAGTTGTTTCGATTTTACCACCCTATTCTCTTTTAAATTATCAGTTAAGAAATGACCAGTACGTCTCTTATAGGCTGCAAGTCCGAAGTCATCTTTTAAAATACGCGACATGGTTCTAGGTGCTATCTTAATCTCTCGAGATAAAATCTTTTGCTTACGGACAGGATTTCTTTGAATTCTTTCCCTTACTGCTTTGACCACCTTTTTCGTACAAACACTACGTGGACGGTCAGATCTTTTTCTGTCACAAACAGTGGAGGTCTCATTGCACCTATTAATAGCCCGGTACACAAACATTTTACTAATACCAAGCGTATTGGGAGTTTTAAAAATTGCATTTGGTTCCATACCTACTTTGTGTAATGCAATCACAGTACATTCCCGATCCTGCGGACAGAATGGAAAGCAGTCGACGTCGCCCAAAACACGTCATCTCGGATCCTCCCGATCCACTAACGGTGCTTTTAGGTACTTCAAGCACCGGTCACCGTTCTCGTCGAACCCGTCGCTTGCGACGAAGGGCTCGACGAGTAAATAGACTCTCAGACACAGCCCACTGAGTTTCTCGCCGGATCTTCTCAGTGGGTCGCGTTTCCGATCCGGTGGTAGATTCTGCGAAGCACGGCTCTTGCTAGGGTTCGTGTTAGCAACGTCATCAGTTTTGAGCCCCGTGAGCTCACCTACAAATGTTAGGGTTGCGCTGAAATAGCCTCTCAAGGCTCTGAGCTTAGGTAGGAAAAACAAAAACAACAACGCAATCACAGCGATTCGGTTCTCTTTATCACCCCACTCCATTTTAATATCGCAAAATCTTGTACAATGTATTGGCGCCAAAATGAGAAAACTCAATGAGCAATCATATAAAAATGACAGATTCCAAATTCAAATGTAATATTTTGTTTATTTTTAATTGTAACAGTATTTATGGCCAGACTAAGTATAGCCACTGGCGACCATTCGCAATAAAAAGATAATCGCTATCCCATCACATTTTAAAACGAAATTCGACGACACGCTCGAGCACTTCTTGTAGACTTTAAACTACCGCTAGGCAGATACGTACACCCACATCCAATGAAAGATAAAATTTCATTCAACGCCTCGGGTTTCTTTAACATAAAACTGTGCCAGTCCGCCCTGCGTTATCAGCAGGCCAAAAGGGTATCTGCGGCGGCTCGTGACGCGAACGTGCCAGTCCGTGCTTACCCGCTTTCAGGATGACTCGTTTCATCAGTCTCATTAGTATTCTACTCCTTACTCCCGGGATCTACGGCCAGTGTAACTTGAAAACCGCCGGCGCGTACTTCAAAAGGTCATTGTACGAATTCTCCAACGACTTAGCGGTCAGGATCAATTATGAAACGGACAGCCACTTCGTCATGTCCGGTCTGTCGGCGTGGACTCTTATATCCGCACTTTCCTTCGGTGCTACAGATGAAACTCTGCAAGAAATCTACCAGGTTGCAAGGCTGCACCCTCATAAATGCTTCAATAACAAAATCTTCAAGCTTCTCCGGGATCAGAAGGAAACTGCCGTCGGGACGCTGGAGAAAAGCTCAGCTTTGTTCGTTGACGAGAGGATGATCGTGCAAGAAAAATTCCAGGTGGACGTGCAGAAAACTGGTGTTTGTGGGGTCAAAGTTCTGTCTTTTGACGATACGATCTCCTCGGCAGCCACTATCAACCAATACGTCAACGAAGTCACGCACTCAACCATAGAGGAGATAGTCATCCCATCCGATCTGGAAGGTGTGATTCTAGTGTTGATCGATGCTCTATACTTCAAGGGGGCTTGGAAAACCCAATTCCCATATGACGACACCGAACCCAGCGCCTTCTACAACCATCAAGGGAACCAAATCGGTGATGTGAACCTCATGTTCGTCACGGGCTCATTCAATCTGAGCAGAATCGATCAGTTGAAGTCAAGCGTTTTAGAATTGCCCTACGGCAACGATGGACGTTTCTCGATGCTGATCTTCCGACCGCACAATGACGTGACCGTGTCGACGGTCATTCAAGAAATGAAATCCATCAGTTTGGCTGCTATATTGGACAGCTTCCACGGGGCTCATAGTGTGGCCGTGCAGATACCCAGGTTCAAGGTCACATCGGACATAAACAACTTGAAGGAGCTGCTGATAGACATGGGACTGATCACCATGTTTGACAGCGACCGCGCCAGTTTCTCCGACTTATCCGATTATCCGGTCTACGTGTCTAATTTCATCCAGAAAGCCAATATAGAGGTGACAGAGGATGGAACCGTCGCCTCCAGCGTTAGCGTAGTCACCTTCGAGGCCAGAATGCTTCCAGACCAATTCGTTGTGAATCGACCGTTCTTGTACATGATTATTGACAGAGCGCTGGAGATCCCGTTGTTCATTGGAGCCTATTCAGAGCCAAGTCTGTTTTAGAATAAAGAATTATTTCGCTCAGATTGTTTTGTTTCTATGCTCTTTAATATGCGCTTTGAAGAAGATGGTGGCTCCAAAAAAAAATAGGAGGTAGAACAGAATAACTAGAGATTATCAATAATATTCTTTACTAGCCATACTCGCCTGCTTCGCTGGGCATTTAAAATTAACATTATTATTCATTGTCATTATTATTAGGGAGTCCAACACTCATGACCTCATGACATATCCATTAAGTACATGTATTTTCTACATGGATACCAAGTTTCAAGTCAATCGTATGCATGGTTAGCATAAAAACGTCATAGTGAGCCAACCTTAACATTATAGACATATGCTATCGCGGACTTTTTTTTAGATCTTTTAAAGAAGAATTAATTCATTCAATAGTACATTATTTTAGCGAAACTTTAACCGTTTCTGCAGCGCACGCAGCGGAAGCTCTCAAAAGGTAAAAATAACCCCGATTTTGAAACATTCTTTATTGATGCTCCGCTTTTATTGGTCTTAGCGTGATGCTATATAGCCTTCCTCGATAAATGGGCTATCTAACACTGAAAGATTTTAAATCGGACCAGTAGTTCCTGAGATTAGCGCGTTCAAACAAACAAACTCTTCAGCTTTATAATATTAGTATAGACATGTAATATAAGCGAGGATTCAGCCATATGAGTCAAGGTGGCTGAATGTATCCATCTTGTGGTTTCCCTGTCAAAAATATAATAAGACAAAAAAAAACATTGTTCATAGAAGCACAGAAAACGTATGCCCCTCACGTCACGTTGTCAACTCTGTTATTCGAATTACAGTAAAACAATATTAATTGAGGAAGTTAAATTATGATTGTATCACTGCAGAGCGTCAACGGATCAAACCCTGAACTGATGTCATGTGAAATAGTCGACGGCATTACGTCATATACTTGACCTCCAAGACTATAAAGTCGGCTATAAGATATTATAACAAAATCCAGCTCGTTCGCGAAATATCTGTCTTTGAGTTATTAAGTCTCCTCTGGAAGCGCTCGGACAGCTGTTAGCAAATCCCTTCCCTCCTGGCTAAGCCCGTGCTCGCCCGCCCCATCCTGGTGAAACTGGAAAGGCCTTCGGGCCACAAGTAATCCAACTTTCACAAATATAAAAAAAGATGTGTGGTGTCGTGGGACACCGGGTAGGAACGAAGTTCCTTATTATAAAAATATTAATTTTAAGTTCTATTCGAGGTATAAAGAAAATAAAACTGGAGATTTGGCAACAACCCACGGTCATTCGGTAACGTGCGAACTTATTGTGGTACACTTCATTCACGGTTGTTTGCACAAAAGTTAGTGTATTGCGCAAACGAACGCTCTGAGATCGTGGTCAATGAATGATAAAAAAATATGTTATTTTTTGTACTTTATTACAAAGTTAAGACGTACACTATGTTCATTACTAATTTGTACGTTATTACAAAGTTAAGTCGTACACTGTGTGCATTACTAATAAAAATCTCTTAGGTTACGGACGCTTTTTCCTGGTTAGGGCACCCCTCCGCATCGTCCCATAAGAAACTTCGTTATTAAAATATCCAAATACTCGCTGAAGAAAACAACATTTATTTCACGTATAACGCACGAGGACATTAAAAGAAAAGAAAAAACACCATAACTTTACATGTGAAGAGGGTTGGTGCTTATCTGACACCCAGAGATGAAAATCCATGTCAAACAAACCGCCAGACCTTCAGATAATATTAGTTAGCTCTGTGTGAAACGAAACGTAAAAAACCTATAAATATTCTTTTAGTAGTAATTAGAAAAGTATTCACATGTCGATGAATAACACCTTAAGCTTCCATGATCACGAATACTGTAAAATATTCGTCAAAACTAATATAAAGACAGTAAAAAATGCAAGATACCCTGTATTTTTTAAAAAGACGCTAGCAAAAGACATTTTCCTTAGTGTATGATCCATACGCCATTGGTCGAGAGAGCAACACGATGTCCCTAGTGTTGTTGAGCAAATAATAAAAAAAACACGGAAGATTTCCATAATTTAAAAAAAAAAATGCGTTTCAGGTTTCCGCCTGTTTCTGCCCGTCAATTGATATCGTTGTATATCATACAGTAGTGGATAACAAGGCTAAGCAAACCCACGCAATACGTGACATTGTTTTATGGGTACGTATTTTAACGACCTGCATAAATTGTTATAAAAGTAATTGATACATGTGCTTATGGTAAACGTGTAGCTATGCAATAAATAATTTAATTCGTTTTTGTCTGCATTTGTAATTGCAAATTAGGTGAGCATATTCTACCACGGAAGGATTGTAGGGGAATTTTAGTATCGGTCTATAATGTGGCAACACCGAATCTCATCCAGTAGCGATTAGGGGATTCACCGGAGTGTTTGCATTTATACAGGTTGTGCTAAAAATCTGCAGTAAACATCCACGAACAGAATTTCTATAATGTAAAAATAAACCGAATATATGACGTCAGATAAGCGGATTCGTTTTTTTATTAGATGGATAAACGAACCCACGACCCACCTGATGCTAAGTGGATCACACCACCCCGCCCCGCCTATTTCTGCCGTGAAGCAGTAATGCGTTTCGGTTTGAAGGGTGGGGCAGCCGTTGTAACTATACTGAGACCTTTTAGAACTTAAGTCTCAAGGTGTGCGGCGCATTTCCGTTGTAGATGTCTATGGGTTCCAGTAACCACTTAACAACAGGTGGGCTGTGAGCTCGTCCACACATCTAGGCAATAAAAAATAAATAAAAAAAAAAGCTAACCTGACGACTACACTCCTGGCTGCAAATACATAATTTGACACACCATGAAAACCGCGGCTCACTTATATGTCATGGAAAACGACTTAAGCGACATTAGGACATTGTTTTGCTTAATATTTTAAATGATAAAATCTTGTTTTGATAAATATCAAAAAAATGTAGGGTAGACATCGTAGCGCCAGAGTATAAAATGGCGGTACGTGGACAGAGTCGGGTCAGGTCTAAACACGTCATTTCCGATCCTCCCGATCCACTAACGGTGCTTTTAGGTACCTCAACCATTATTAAACCATAGACACAGCCCACTGAGTTTCTCGCCGGATCTTCTCAGTGGGGGAACTGCCACTTAGCCATCCCTGACGCCGTAATATATGTATATGTCAATATTTATCGTGCCACTTATTCGGTAGCACACCCTATAAAAAATATTTATAGCTTTGCAATAAACAAGTGACCTTATTGAAGAGTGCAATTAAAATTATTGTCACTAGGACTAGGACAGATGAAGTCATATAATTACGATTCACGCTTCCAGCTAGGTAGTTAATAAATACGCGAGTTTGATATAAGAGGTTTATATTTAAAAAAAAGATATTCCTATAATTTATCTACATTTGTCCCCAGTAACTAATACATTAATTATGATACTCTCATCGATTTTCGCAAGTCCTAGACATAATAAAATCTACTAGAGGTCCCGCAGTAGTCGAAATTCGACTATAATTAATTGGAATTGTAAGTTTGTACACATACTATAATCACAAATTTCGCCATTTTTTATAGTGTAATAAAAAAATATTAATAAAGACAAACAATATTTAATCTATTCTCAATTTGACCACAGACGTCAAGAACAAAAGTTTGCCAATAAATAGTATGCATGCGTGTGTGCCTCAAATACCTGGTATGTAGTGTGTGTAATGATTTCTTTATTGATTTAATGTATCTTTTATGCATTAGTTTTAAAAAATATTAGCATTGTGCACTTCTTCTCTATATTCTCTATATAGACCAGTGTCGATAATTTTTAAAACCAAAAAAAATAATAGTAGGATAAAACCCATTACAAAAGAAGGGGAATATTATAAAAATGAAAGGAAAAATAATTTACGGGCGATCTGTGGTCGGGAAGGGGTTGGGGAGGGTAGGTTTAGGGTAAAAAACGGTTTTTCTCGATTTCCGGCAAAACTAAAAGTCCTATGGAAAAAAGTCAAACGGCAAAGTTGTAGGTAACAAAAAGATCTAACACTTTTGTATTTACACTTTTTTCACACAACCTCAAAATTTAAGTGAAAAATTAAAAAAACCAAATGTTTGGTTTTTTATTTTTATCTTTTTCAAAAAAAAATCTTTTTTCACGAAATTTGCTGAAAACTTACCTTTTTATGTCCCAAATACGCTGTAATTTATTTGATTAGAAATATTTATTTTTTCACCTTATTTTGAATTAATATCGATAAAGGACCCTAATTTTCAATCGAAAATTCACCCGTCAAAATATCAGCTTTTTTCAAAAAGTTGGTATGTTTTCTGCTCGTTGAAATTTCTATGGTGAAAAAAAATATATGTTACTATAGTAAATCTTCTCAGAAAATGAAAAAAATCGAAAGAACTCGAATTCAAATATATTTTTTTAATTATTATATGCAATTTTTTATTTTAAAATTTACCATTTAATTACTCGAAAAACATAAGATTACAAGCTACATTGATAAAAAAAAAATGCAAATCAAAATATACTACTATAATTGACAAACAAATAAGTTAATAAAATTCATATTTAATAAGACATCTACAATATTTGGAGAAAGTTGTCGAATCTTCTTTAAATTATATGCGTAGATGCCTATTTATAACTATTTTTAGATAACTTATATACCTGAGTGACCTACGAAAAATTTTACCACATCAAAAGGTATTTGAAATATATGAAATATACATGAAAGTCAGCCAAAAGTTAGTTATTCATAATAAAATTAAACAAAAAAAGAAATTAAAAATAAAGGTTAGATTAAATCGGAAAAGTAGTTTACTAGTGGCAGGACCTCTTGTGAGCCCGCACGGGTAGGTACCACCATTATGCCTATTTCTGCCGTGAAGCAGTAATGCGTTTCGGTTTGAAGGGCGGGGCAGCCGTTGTAACTATACTGAGACCTTAGAACTTATATCTCAAGGTGTGTGGCGCATTTCCGTTGTAAATGTCTATGGGCTCCAGT